CTATGTTCTGCTTCTGGTGAGATGACCAATGTCTGTCTGAATTCTGTCTGAATTATCAAGCATTCTCCATCTTTGCATTATTTCTCTGTTGACTATTCTTTATCGAACATGCTCGTACTCGCACTGGTTAGTGATCTCCAAGTGGCAAAGTCCTCTGTGAAAACTTTCTTGGAGCTTCCCAGATGCCACTTTTCCCGATGAAGGCATTCGCGGCCACCGTACTGTCCATTGAAGCAGCCCTATCAGACAGCACTACCTTAAAAAAAGTGCTGCAACCTGCTCTTTAAACCATCTCTTCGAACCATCTGAATCTTGTATCTTCAACTTCCCTTGCGAGACTTCACCTATACCAACAATATAAACTGCTCCGTTAATTTTCAGTTCGTCCAGTTTCGTTCGACCAGCGCTTTTCCAGTTCGCAGTCTTCGTCTTGTGTCGTTATCATTGTACTATTATTGTCGTTAATACTGTCACAAACGACTATAACCAAACGTCTTGAGGTGTTCGGCTCAGTAACTAATACTCAGAAGCCCAGCGTAGTGAATACAGTAGGGAGCAGTCAGTCGGACTAATATTCACAGCTACGTGATATCCTTATAACTGTGGACATCGCCACATTAAGAGCGGAAATCATTCGGAGGATCAATATCTCCTTGGATAAGTAAGCTAACAAGTTATAAATCCATTGCTGAAACGCAGGAAGAAGCAGGACCAAAAGGTTGGTAAGTGTCACACACGATACAACTTAATCTTAAACTATAAAGAACAAGTGTTAGCGCAATGTTCTAGTGTTGATAGTGTTGTATCACATCCACTTTTCTTTCTCATTTCTTCTGCACTGTTTCCTGTTCTCTTTAAAATGTCTTAGCACTTCCCAAGACCGACTGCCTACAACCTCTGCAGTAATCCAAGCGGTCAACCAGAGGATAGCCAACAAGTACGAGGCATCGAAATGGAATTACTTTGGGCCGCACTACGAAACAAACGGAACGAAACGTTCGCAAGAAGGATGAAATGTATGACGAAGGAACATTTTTGTGCTTTGTGTCTGGAGAATCAACTTTGGAGGAGAACAGTTGGCTCTGAAGAAGGCGATACTGCCGAAACGTCAGCCGCCGTAAACGTGCTGATAAACAACCTCGCGATTGCTGAAAAAGAGAACGACACATTTATAATTCACCGTTTACTTGATGCGGAGACCCCAGACCGTTATAATATTTATTTGCCACAGTACTAGCTGACGTTTCAGCGGTTTCGCCTTCTTCAGAGCCTGGAAAGGTTAGGTTTACACGCAAACTACTCAGCCAAACGTTTTCATAACCTCAGCAGAAAAAACATAAATTTTCATTCGCGTAATAAATAACTTCCTTAGAACACTTGCCGTTCTATTAGTTGTAATTCTTCCAGCTAATTGGTGGAGAGCAGCCACACAGAGTGGGCTGCGATGTGGGCTAGGAATGTGCCTTGCACAGCTCAGAAGAAATCAGCCTGAAGTATGGAGCGAGGTCACGTGTGACCATAGGACGCTCCGCTAAGTGGGTTCGTTTTTTTGGATTTTCAGAATTTATCCGGAACACTTTAAGAGTTTTTCGCACAGATGTCTTAGATTGCTGTGCGAGGATGCTGACTTTCACTTCAAAATCTCCAGTGACCAAAACTCATGCAGTCACCGACCGTACCGTTAGGGCAACTTATGATGCAGTTTTTGCTGTGGTTCATAGACGATCGTAGAGGTAGTTACAAACTAGCTGGCGTCTCAGAGTGTTCAGTGATATTTCTATCACTGCTACTGATATCTGTAAACGAGTCCTTCCTATGCAATACTTTATAACTTCACTTATTTCGTTGGAAGTGAAGCGTAGTATAAACGGGACCTTATCATCGTTAAAAAGTTGCCAACTGAAGGCTTGGGTTTTCTTCTACACCTACCCCGAGGAGCTTTAGTTTTGTAGCTATTACAAATGGCTATTTGCAGCGCAAGTTTCGAAATTCCTTCGTCTGCTGTCTTCTTGTGCACAGACTGGTAGTTCTTCGAAAGATGTTTCTTACAGGCGCCTTTCTGTGTGTGAGGGGTAAGAGGAGAGGTAGTGAACCACTATGTCTTTACTACTTGCCTTTCGGTACCACTTCGTAATGTAGCCGTTTTTGGGTAGATTAATTTGGACGTTCAGAAATGGAAGCCGGTTTGCTGTTAATATAGAAATGTTAGTTACTCTGTCTGTTCATTCATTAACTCAAAACACTTGTCCACCTCTTCCTGTGTGGAGCAGATGACAAAGCAATCGTCTGTACATCTGCAGTAGAGTAATAGCCGACCTCCCGACGGTTTACCGCTCCATCGTGGCTAGGAGATGTTCCTGGGTGTCGGGCTCCGTTGTGCAGCGGGTGGATTCATCCACCAGCAGGGTCTCCCAAGCTGAGAAGGAGTCCGGCGTCTTTATCAGGAAACCTAGCTAAGAGTAAACCAATACCAGGATCCACCACCGTCCTGGTATCAAAGTAGTCGCATGGTCGCAAATCTCCCGCTGCTCCACAAGGGCAGTGACTGCCTGTGGTGGTGACGAGCTACGGCAGACTTCGGCTACGCTGACCTCGGAACCCTAGAGAACTAGTGGCTGAACCAGCGGAACTACGAAACAAAGGAAATAATGCTGGGGCCCACACAACCAGTGAAGACGGACCATTCAAGTATCCAAGTAAGAGTGATGACCTAAGATCTGGTTGTACTATCGTAGAAATAAATGCTATGGCAAGGCTTAGTGCTAGCCGCTGTCGTATTGCCAACTCTCCCATTTGTGCGTAATATTTTCCTGGCCATCGGAGGATAGAGCAGTTCAGGCATTCGTTTAGAGGGCCATGAGCTGCTGAACTGAGAAGCCACACTTGTTTATTGCTCTTTCGTGTTCCGTAAGAAGTTCTGCTTGCATTGCAGAGTCATTCGACATATTTACCAAGATTGTGGAAGTATTCCACTGAGTAGATTGTGTGTCAACTTAATCTTTCCTGGTTCTGGAGAAGGCGAAAGAGCCGAAGATTCAGTCAATACTGAATAGATCTTGTTGCCAAAAACCTCGTGTCTGCGCTCCAAGCAAATGGTCTGCTTTCTGTCCTTGCACACAGTTTCCCTCATCATCAAATTGCTGGCAGGTCTACAAGTTCACACAGATCCCGAATTCTCCATTACTGCTGAAGCTCCCTGTCCACTCACAAGTGCGGCCCGACATTGGTTGCCTGAGCTGTCATCGAAGTGACATCGTGCAAGGTGTGTCATACGCATGTTCATACTATGTCTGTAATTTTACGTCCGCAATCTCTGGTCTGAGTGTTCGTCTCTAGCGAGTTCAGTTTTCAGTTAGGAAATGGGATGTTGTGCTGTTCAGTTTCGCTGTTCGGAATGCACTATGGAACTACGTTAGTTCACTCTTCGTTCTGTTAGTTCTTAGTGAAACCGTGTGCTGGCTAGTCACTTGTGGTTCGTGGAATTCCAAATCTTTCATCTTTCAAACCTTCGAGGTCCAGCTACTATACGTTTTAGTTTGAAAGTTTTATAAGGAGATCTATGTCTTAACCATTGTTACTATTGAGGTCTTTTTGAAGCTATGTTATTTTTAGCCAGCCTTGAACTCTTAGAAAGCCATGTTTGGAGCAGGCACCTACACAGTTTTCCGTTCAAATGTGCGATATGTGGCTTTCCTGCCATATCTCATACTTCGCTTATTGCTCACTTTAAACAAACCCATTCGCTCAGTCAGGTTTGTGGTTTTCTCTTTTCATTTTTCCACTTTGATAACTCAAAAGACCGACTTTCTATAAACCTCGGCATAAAAAGTCGAGATATTTACTTATATTATAAACTGATCTTGTTTAGTCAATGCGAAATTGGTATAGGTATTCGTTGTTGTTGTCGTTGCTCTTGGTTTTGTTGGTCGATGGCTGAGGTTTCTCAATGAGTGAGTCCCACTCATAACAGCATGGATCTGAGATAGGCGAAATCGCAGAAACGTCAGCTACCGACCCACAACACCGACAACAGAGACAACAACAACGACAGCGACAACGAAGACCTATGCCAATTTCGCATTGTCTCAACAAGATCTGTTTTCTGCTTTAATTTTCCATATTCTGCCAATGGTTTACCGCCTCATCGTGGCTAGGAGGTGTTCCCGAGTGTCGCGCTGCGATGTACAGTGGGGATTCATCCTCCTGGCAAAGTTTCCCACGCTGAAAAGGATTCCGACATTTCTATCAGGAAGCCCAGATAAAAGTCAACCAATACCAGGATCCACCACCTTCCTGGTGTCAAAATAGTCGCGTGGTGGTAAATCTGCCTCTGATCGATAAGGTCGGCGGCTACATGTGATGGTGACAACCTGGGGGACAGTTTAGCTAGGCTTATCTCGGTACTCCAGGGAACCGCATTGGCTAAACCACCAAAACTCTGGGAAAATTGAGACTGCTCTGGTCCGCACAACCAGTGAAGACGAGCTATCCAAGTATCCAAGTAATTTCTAATGTTTCCTAAGCATCAAATAAATAGTGCTACTTTATTAAATAGTAACCAAGTTGACATCTTTAAAATATCATAATGAACTGCAGAGGTAAGTCACAAGCGTGGGATCATGCTTAATCTTGGTATGTGGATCTCCATGTTTCCTGAAATCTAATCGCTCAGTTTTGATCATTTAGCCAGTGGAATTTCAACGAAAGGTGCGGGATGAAGTGCGTTTGCGAAATGTGGTCGCCAATTCTATCGTTGTTCCTGTATATGAAGAAGTTGCTTTTAGACATCCATTACATGTGATGAAATTACGAACTTTATCCCTTTTTGATATGTCTAGGCTTTTTTTTAGGGTCTGGAGAAAGAAAGTCAGCGGTACCAACTGAGTACGAAATGTTTAAGTACAGATTTAAGCAATTCTGCGGCCAGTGTTGTCGCACAGAACGAACAGAGAATTGGAGTCAGAACTATTGCTGGTGGAGGTGATTCTTTGCAATTAAATATGATAAGTGAGTCGTCTTCACCAGACGCAGTTCCATTTCTCGAGCAGAATATACCGCCAGAAACCGAGGTGGGTGGGTCCGATGCATTCTCCGTAATATTTATTCATTCATTCAAATTGTCTTGCTCATCGTTCTTGTTGTCTGTATGATCTGATGTTTCAGATTATTGGTGAAGTCGAAGTGTTTTTGCCAGGAGAGGGTCATTATCGGAAGGTACGTTTATGGATGTGTTTGTGATTGTGACGTCCATTTCAAATATTTTTCAAGATCTTCCCTTTAACCTTGGTATGACTAATCAATATGTATCCCATCTTTGATAAGCTTGCACGACGTTGATAAATAAAGATTGAGTGTTTTTGTTCATTTTAGGTCGGTATATTCCGAAGCGTTAACGATGCGTCAGATATCGCCACTGTTGATGAGCCAATGGTTCACGTTGGCCAACATGTAGTAAGTTTGTCTCATATTGTTCCATGATATCTTTAAGTACGTTGCTTGAAGTGCAAAAGATTTTTTTCGTTTACAACATCATCTGACTTTAGCCGAGAGGTGCTAAAATGGTTAACATGGATAACAATGAGGTAGCTTACGTCTATGACGGGGACGAAAGCGGAACCGTTCTTGTGGATAGACCTCCGTATGGATTTGAAGACATCGACGGGAATAGTATTTATATCGAACGGGCATCACCATCTAACGTGAGTGTCTCATTTACTTCAGATTTCTCCATTAGTGAGCATTTTTTGACGTAATATAAGCATTCGGTTTCTCACTGAATTATAGTCAAAATCCAGTACCGATGTCCGGGCGCGGCAAGTAAAACAGCGGCATATCGATGTCGTCGTGAACAAAGTTGCTCGTCAAAGTAATGAACGTTCACGTCGGGCATTAACCGTCTACGAATGTGAAGAATGTGGCAAATTTGTTCGGGTAGGTTAAGTGTTCACTCACATGTGTTGAAAATCCGTCCCTTGTAATAGTTCTTTACTCATTCATCATCTAGTATCCCTCTAAAATAAGGGAACATCGTCGATCTCATGCTGGAGTGAAACCCTACGAGTGTCATCGTTGCGGGCGGCGATTTGCACAAAAAGGTGGCCTCACATGCCACATGCGATTACACACAGGTATTTCTGCTGTTTTGAGCACTATTTCTCCTTATTTTCCCGGTTTATTGATTTTTTTCGTGGTGAATTAACTTCCGGTGGTAACACAGTTGTGATGAGTTGTGGTTATATATTTTTTCAGGCGAACGTCCCTATATTTGTACATGGGATTGTGGCAAATCTTTCCATTCAAACTCGGCCTTGAAGATGCACGAAAGATCTCATAAGTAAGTAGTCTATTAGTATCTTTTCTCACGATTTCTTTGAAAATTGTCATTTGTTATACTGGTTTGTTCTCAGTGGCGAACGACCATTTTCATGTGAATTTTGCGGGAAATTATTTTCGAAGCGATCGCATTGTCGACGACATGAATTGGTATGTTATTTTATATTACATCAATTGCTTTGATTCTCTAATAGATTGTTTATGGGTATCAAACTGCCGTAAAAACGTTCTTTCTTCCTCCTAAGTTAAGAGGGAGTTCGACATTTCCAACCAGAAGGCCAATTGTTAGTAAACGTACACGCGTCGTAGCTCTGCGAACTTCTCACAGATTATCTTCTTGCTAGAAAGAGAAAAAAATATGTGATAGCGTATTGTTACTGATTTTCATGTCCATGAAGCGGCTAGATTCACTTGGCAGACTTAGCGTCCCACAGGAACGAAAGTGTGTACAAGTCAAGTTATTCGATGGTCAACGGGATCGCCATTGGTATTTGCAGAATTTGCAGACTTCTTAGCGTTAAAAGTTCTTAGTTTTGGCGAATTCTTTATCGCTAAGAACAGCAGAGAAAGGAATTTCAGACAATTAATTGTAAACTGAAACAGTAAACGTCCTTTTTGTAATTATCCTGGTAGGGATGTCCTTGCAAAGCCCGAATTTCCATACCCATCAAAATATTAGCTTGGTTATTTATGATCTATTCTCATGAATATCTTGCTTCTAGTCTATACATTCGAGAGAAATTGCTCTTCGCGCCGCTCAACAGTTTGGTCTCGCTGCAGCAGGAGCGGATGAAGATTGCCTCAGGGAGGTGGTGAATGGTGTTATTGAAGAAGTCAGAATTGAGCGTTCGCTTCGAAATGAGTTAAAACTCGAATTGTGACTAACCAGAAATGTTTCGAAACCGAGCTTCCCTAAACCTCGGTGTGACTAATCAATATGTATTCTTTCTTGATAAGCTTGCACGAGGTTGATAAATATATTTATCAACCTCGTGCAAGCTTATCAAGAAAGAATACATAACCAGAAATGCTTTTCGAAAGTCGGAAATCTCATCTAGAGGGATTTTCACGGGTTCCTACACTCAATAAATTTGGTTTCCGATGCCACCGGTTCCTATACAATGCTTATATATATGTATATACGTTTTTCTGATCTCAATGGTTAACTAAATTTTTGTCTTCATCATACAGGGGCTATAATAATTGGGAGCCTTGGTGAAGTATTCCAATTGTAGAGTTTTTTCTCCGTATTTATGGCTCATCTCTTATAGCTTTTGCAACAACATATTTCGTAAATGGAACTTTCTTTTTTTCTCGTCTACTTGGGTCACATAATTTTTTGATGGTCTTTCCAGGATTGTGATTCGTGTGAAATAGCTCGATGAGTGTATTTTTTATTCTTCTGCCTTAGTTCTGAACATCTTGTTCCTCTTGTTGTTATTGTTGTAATTTTGTTTCAAAACGTTTAATAGTATCTTTTTTTGTAAAGTGGTAAATTGAACTACGAAAGACTAGTTTCAGTGAATGACTAAGCGCTACTATTCACATTAAGGTACCCAGTATAACTAAGTGAACAGAAAACACCACGACATGCGATTTAGTAGAAGTTCATGCATGGATTGCAGTTTTAGAATAATCCGATGGGATGGTTCTTCTAAGGAACCGTGCTGAAAAAGCAAGCAAGCATTTGCGATAAGAATTATCGGCTGTGGTTAGGATTTCGGTGCTTGCTTCGATACTTGAATGGCCCATCTTATGCAGGCTCCAGCATAATTCTGATTGCTTCGGAGTTTTGACGGTTTAGGCATTATGGTTCGCTAGAGTCCCGAGGTCAGCCAGCTCATGGTCTGCTCCGTGGATCAAGGGGAGATTTGCCACCATGAGACTAGTTTGGTATCAGGACGGTGGCGGATCCTGGTATTGGTTTACTCTTAACTGGATTTCCTGATAGGAACGTCTGATTCGTTCTCAGATCAGGAGAGTCTGCTATGGGGTTGAATCCACCCACTGTACATTGCAGCCCAAACGCACGGACACCTCCCAACTACGATGTTGGGAGGATGGTTAGGACAAGTTCTTAAATTCAAGGATTGACGCAGGGCTTTCGCTGATGTGTAAACACACTCCTGTTCCTGCTTCATATTTATTGGTGCACTGTTTATCAAGTCTCTGATGTTGATGGTTCATGGGGATTCTTCGATTTTAAACAGGGAGAAAAGTACAACTGCAATACCACATACAGGGGTGTCTGTTGTTTGAGAGGTATTCGACAACGCATTTTAGACGGTTATAGATATTAGGTGGTGCTTCTTTAAGGTTTTTGCGGAATGTCCGACCAATGACTAATACGCTCCCAGTAGTTTCTATGTTGAGGAATCGGTTGGGTTTATTATGTCACCATCCTGGGCCTTAGCGAGATCGAGTGTTTACCTTCATGAGGTGGTAATCATTCCGAGAAATCATGAAGTTGCGAGAACTGAGGTGTGTTTTTTACTACGATTTGTCATAGTTCACGTTTTCATCAGTTGGTGTCATTGTAATTGCTGCTGGTCTTTATGCTTTCACAGCAAGATTGACTTATTCGCGTCTAATTTTCTTGTCCAGTGCAAGGGACAACGCCTTATTTTCGAATTGAATGAACTTGTTGATTCTTGTTTTGATAATGAGTAATAGTATGTTAACTCTTTATTTACTGCCTGTCACAATTTTTCACGACACGGTATTATGTGTGATACAACCACAACGGCGCTGAGATATTTGCAAAACTCCGGACCGCAGGTGTCTGCGGTGGTGATCAAAACCGCTATCACTCTTTTCGAGGACTAACGCGTTCACCACCACACCATGCCTGTCCATCGTTTCGCCTTTCTCTCAGCGAGTTTTCTATCTTCCAGTGACAGCAGTAAATAACAGTTTTTCGATAAGTAGAGGGCTTGAAATGTTGTGGACATGAGGCGACTGTAGACTTGAGTAGTATAAAGGATAAAGGGATAAAGCTCTCGGCGTTGATCGATCCCTGAGAGAAGCGCCATGCAATCGACCTCACTAAGTATCGTTGGTGATTGAATGCATATCTGGCCTTTACAACAGCTCGCGGTGGCCTGCCTGTGTATCGAGCCAGTGCTGTTATCCTTCCAGGCAAGTCTGGTACCAATGTGCTGACCCCGGATAGATGGAAGGCTTGGTGTGCCATGGACGCGTGGATCGATCCCACATGTGTGTTATAGGGCGCCTCCGACCATTGCGCCACACGCGACCTGCATTTATATATAGATTATGGTTAATTTGCGCATTTATATATAGAGATTGTCAATTTTGGGTTGTGAAATAAAGCAATAGTAGTCTCTCGTCGAAAAATGAATTCTTCGGAAGAAGGCTTTTTGTAAACTATTTCCTGTAGAGAAGAGTTTTTCAAGGGGAGCACCTAAAACAACAACAGTTTGGGCAAAATATGGATTGAATAAAGAAAACCTGGAAATGAGATCCATATAGCAAAATGAAACAGTGGGAAGGAAATATGTGGAGCACGATGCACCTTGTCCCCTCAACAGCCCATTCACGTACAGCATATAGCGTATTTCAGGCGTCACGTGTCAATGTCTTTGTAAGCACATCTTACCCGTGTCTCCATGGTCATTGTTGCTTACTGCTCTTTCCGTGTTCTCCAACTCTCTTTAGAACTTTAAGGTGAGTTATGAGATAAGCTTCGAATTCAGTTTCCACAAGACGCGACCAGCTACCCCCGTTTATTTTCGTCAGAATTTGACAGCACCGTGGACCACAGATTCTCATCTTGAACTTCTAGAAAATTCTTTGATTTAAGTGATCATCTTAGCCTAAAGCTCCACTTTTAGACCTTAAAGATGCGTCGGTTGTATATGACAATAATCGGAATTTATTCTGATATTGTCAGGAGTTACTACAACTTTATGAGGTATTTCAAGAAATGTATAACACCAATGATCCATACATTTTTTCCATATTCTATAATATCGCGATTCTACTAAAAATTCATTTGTGCCGTGAAGCCGCAAAAGCAGCGTCTGACTCCGTAACTCCGCTTTTTCTTTGCTTTTTCCTTCCTACGTCAGGCAGTCCTACTAGAGCAGTGCACATTGCGCCATGTCTATTTTCATATAGCGCCTTATTTTTTGTCTAGCACCATCAGATTCCGTTGAACCACAGTTCCATTTGAAAATCCGTCGTTTAGGAGATTTGCACGATACTGACCACCCTGATTGGTTATACTGATCAATTCGATATGTCGTAAAACCGACTTTCCACTAACCTAGACATAAAAAGGATAAAGCTCTCGGCATTGATCGATTCCTAAGGGATGTGCCATGCATTCGACTTCAGTAAGCATCGTTTGGAGATGACTGAATGCATATCTGGCCCTTACAATGACTCACGGTGGCCTACCGATGTATCAAGCCAGTGCTGGTATCATCCCAGATAAGTCGGGCACCAATTTGCCGACCCCAGAGTGATGGAAGGCTTAGTGAGTCACGGTTGCGGGGTCGATTCCACGTGTGTGTTGCAACTGCGCCTCCAAGCACTGCGCCACACGCGCCCTTATCTAGACATAATTCATCATTATCTTCTTAGGCGATTAAACTAACACGAGGTTAGTACAGAAGTTTGAATAAAGCGAAGGCATCGAGACAACCGGATAAATCTTTTATACCAATCTCGGCTTTCTTAACCATTTAAGAGGATATTAAGAACCGACCGTTATTTAACCGGGGCATAAATAATCAATATTTCTTGGATTATTGAGCAGGGAAGAGAATAGCAATAAGCCTTATTCGGCTGCCGTTTCTACGTCTTCATCTTCTTTAGAGCCGCATTGATCCATGTCGATGGCCCAAAGCAAGTCGTTGTTAAGATGTGGATATTCGTTGTCGCATAGAGTCGAATCCAGTGAAGACGACACCGCTCTAATGAATTATCCTCATCCAATGGTGCCCTTTTATATAGGACAGGTGTTAATCTGTTGTGGTCACCTAATATTATCTATTTTTCTGTGCAAATGAGACTTATTTCCAACCTCATCTTCGCCTCATATTCTAAGAAACTACGTCTAAGAAGGCGCTTGACTACATTCTCGTGACGTCCCGGTTTTTTTAAGCTGTGTGCTTCATCTGGACTCGGTTTATTACGTCATAGTCAGGCAGTCGGTCAAGTAATCCTTGGATTAGCTGTCATCAAAAGAATCGTTATCACCCTAAAGGAATCGAAGTCACAAGGCAGCAAGCCTCTATCTGATCCAATAAAGGCCGATGACTGCGTGCGGTGGAAATGCACAGGAATAGCCATCTCGTGCTAATGGTGAATTGCCCTCCACTAGCGTTCTTCAATGACGAGAATGACGATATTCAAGTTGCAAACGAACCCGGAACTCGACCATCTTCATGGGCGACAGTTGCGAGACAACGGAGCATGTGTGAGACTGGGTAATCTAAGTGCTACTTAATGGGTACTGTGCATTCGACCAGTATTTTGGAACTCTACATTTCTAAATAGCATTAACTCATATGATCTCTCCTCCACTAACAGCAGTTCTTTCCAAGACCAACTTTCTACGTCGACATTGCCTCGTTCAGGCTCTGAAAGGGCGAAAACCGAAACGTCAGCCACACAGTAGTGAACAATGTCTGTTTTTGAGAACCCTGTTTCTGCTCAGGAAGAGATAACAGACTTACCGAACATTTGCTTTGTTTGCTTTGTGCGATACAGTATTAGTTATTAGCGATCTGAATCGGCTTCCCTGAATTCGGTGTTTCTATGGTGAAAACTTCTTCAGCGAGTTTTTTCTTACAAACTCGCAAGTTTTTTGGTCGTTGGGAGCGATATTTCGAATTTTTACTTTATCTATGCGCTTTCTTCTCTATTAATTGACTGAGTTACACTTTATTGTTCTAATTTTTGTCCTAATTTTAGTACATGTTCAAGAATGAAGGGGCGTTCATGATGTCCGCCATCACGAGCACAGTGGTAGTTCGATTATTCCGCTTCGGGCCAACCAAGCCGCTCATCCCTCTGGTATCGGGAAAGTGGTACCGGACTTGTTTGGAAAAAATCACTCTCTGCAATCCAATTAGGAACGCTCCGGCCCAGCTATCTCAGGACTCCAGGGAGAATTGCTCGACCAGGATTCTGCAACATTCAAGATGAAATGAAAATTCTCAAGCAGCAACCGAAGCCACACGTAAAAGTTGGAAGATTTTCGTGGACAGTGGGTGCAAGGAAACGAATCGAACGTGAGAAGTGTTAGGATCTGCACAGTAAATGGTTAAGACGGATCATATAAAATAAAATAAAATGAAATAAACAAATAAGTTCAACTTTATTCTTCAATCCACGCAAGTGCTGGATTACCAGA